AAATCAACAAATACATTACAGACACAAGTATATATTGACATAATTTACTGAATGTCCATTATTTGCTGAATATTAACTCATTTTTTTAAAACAAGAAAACTCAATAATAAATAAAACAGAATAAATGTTTTATTATATCAACTTAATGGTAGGAAACTTGGGAAAACAATTAAATTGTTCTTCAACTCTACTGCCAGTTTTTCTTTGCTGTTCTACTCACACAGGCCTTTATATAAATATACATTTCTACATGACATTCAACCAATTTCAAAGACATTTATATAATCAAGGAAGATTTGTACGACCCAGGATAGGAACAAAGATTGCAACCTCTATTTTAAAAACAATGAACCATGAAAATTCTTCTATACTTGAAATCTTGAAAGATTCCCTTTTCACGCACACCCTCAAAAAAAAAAAAAAATACCAGAAAATGATGCTAAACATTCCAACAAATTCATTTACTCATGGTGATTATGTTCTTAGTAGTACAGTGTCCGGGAAATCAGGTTGGTCCTGTTAGTACTAGCATCTACTCAGGTCACACCCACGTGCTCGGCTCCTCCATTCTCCATTGTAGGGTGGAGCATAAGAGATACTACAATCTCACAATCTGCCTGTCCCCATCCCTGTCTCACAATCCCATGAGGCTTATTAAAAAATAAACACAATAGTACTCTAACAAATTCTTATTTAAAAAGTATGGAACTGTGGCAATAGTGTCAGCACATGCATGTTTCACAGCCTTCTCTATATATTAAGTGCATGCAAAAATAGAGCTCCCCTCCCCCAGTCTCAGAATCTGCTGACACTTCCAAAAACTCTGCAAAGTTCTCCAAAACAGTACCTCACACCTGCAACTCAAGTCCAAAACAAGGGGCAGACAGCACAGTATGCAAGTACTAATTTTCAGCTGAACCATGCCAGTGAAATGAGATGTCACCTCATTTTCTAAATGCAATTCCCAATCAGTCATAAGTTGATTTGTGAATCTCTGGATTCCCTTGAAGTTTTTCCCCAGTACCTGTACCTCATTTCACAATTAGCCTTCCATAGGTGCATGCAACGTGAGAACACAAGAACCTTCAATTCTCATATGAAGGTTTTAGTGTTTTAAGAACTCAGGAAAGGTCTGAATGGAAAAGAAATGAAAATAAAGTTCTAGTTTTCAGTCTCACACATGAGCTCTCTTGCACAAGCAACATGGATATACTCCCTTGGAAAAGAAGAACTCTAAATTGCCACCTACTCTTTGGTTTTAATCACCATACAACTAAATACACAATTATTATTAATCATTCTCTCCTTACTAAAAACAATTTTGATCTAAAAAAGTTTTATATAAGGAAATGAATAATATTCAACTTATTTTCCTCTTTCCAAATCTGATATTTAAGCCTAGGCAATTAGCTAAATATTCACCAAAGAGATTAATTTCTAATATTTTAACCAAAACCACCATAGACAGGTCCCTTATTTTCTCTATTTTGAGTACAGTATCAAGTCATTCTACGGAAGGAACTGACTGAATAGCTATTAATACTTAATAACATTTGAATCTGGATGTAAACAAAAAAGAAATGTTGGCTTCACCATAGTAAATAAAAAGAAATATTTTAAATATACTGATTTAAACTTGCAATGAATGCTGAACTCAACAAAAAAGTCAAAAACTACTTGTTGTAAAATCAGCTTTTAATTTCTGCTGGACCCTTCAGAAACCAAGTGAGGATTATAATTATTATTACCTCTATTTTAAACGTGAGGTTTACCTGAGAATAATAATATTTATGAAAAAAAAAACACACAACTTTTTAAGTTCTACCAAAGATTAAAGGCTATATAAAATATCTGAATTTTTTAAATCACAGTTTAGTGCAAAAAATATTTTCATTGTTTTCCAATAAATAACCATGGACCTATTATAACTGGGTTTCAAGTGTGAATCTCTGGACCCTACATAAAGAAATTTCTTTTTTAGAAATTTAATGGAAAGCATTTAATTGAAAAACCCTTAGTTTATTACTTTCAAAAATAAATCCGACATTTTTAGGTGTAGAAAAATTAGAAACTGTGCAGTTAACAGGCTGGAAAGTTAAATATCATTGCCAGTAATCAACTTCTGTCTGCTGAATTTCAAGGGAACCTATTGTATATTAAGTTCTTAAAAAGTGAACTCATCTACCCTCTCATCTCAGAACTTTCTCAACTTTCCCATTACAATCAACAATTTAACTCGCAGTCAAGTCTTCCAGACCAATAACATCAGAATTTATTTTTAACTCCTGACTCCTTCCCAAATATTCCCCTTCAATCCAATACAAAGTCCTGCCAGTTCTTCATTCACACTGTTCTCTCAAATGAGTTTTCATCCTATTTTCACATTTTACTTTATATTCCCCCTCATGATTCACAATTCACCCTACTATCTCCCTAAAAGGACTCTAATGGCTCTACTCTAATTCATCAGCTCAGCTGCCCAAATCATCTTCAAATATCTTGGTTCAGCCATCTGCAATAAATTCCAATTTCTCGTGAATCTCAACCAAACTCTTACAGGCAACCTCTCCCCTCCATCAGCTGATGTTAACATATTTTTCAAATTCCACCTCTCATTTTCCTATTTAGGCTCTTTTAACTCCTTTTGGCGAATACAAAATTCATTTACCTGTTGTACAAAAATCACCATCTCTGTGCCTCTGTCCATTCTTTCCATCTAGAATCCTTTATGCTTCTCTATCAATTAAAGTTATTGCCTCCTTTAATACCTATCTTAAAACACACCTCTGCAGGAAGTCTTCTCTCTCTAACCCATCTACCTCACCCCTTTATTCTTTGTCCCTCTGAACAAAGCATTCTATTTGTACTTATAATCTTACAGTCATCTTGGTATTGTCTTCATATTTTGTCCCATAACCTGCCTCTACTACTAAATGACAAGCTTTTGAGGACAAGGACTACAATTTCTCTTTTGAACACTAGCACTCTAACAAATATTTAATGATTCCCCTTTCTTCTAAAATTCCTTAAAGTCAAGGCTGTCAAAAACAATTAGCAGTGAACTCCAATTTCTTAAATGTTAAGTTGACCTATATGGTAAGAGAAAATTAAACATTTTAACCTACACTTTACAAGAGTACCCCATCAGTCAACATCCACACTATCAAGAATTAAGGAGTCATTTTCAAAGAACATCCTGGGGGGGGAAATCAGAAGTCCAAAAATTTAACATTAGAAGCGATTCTATTTTGCTCTCTGAAATAGGTCTAATAAACTAATTACCTAAAATTGATTTTGAGTGGTTTTTAAACTATATTACCAAGATGAAAAAACACTCCAGTACAAGAGGCTCTTAAGTAGCTATTATAAGATTTGCTTCATCATAGCTGAAAACTACCCCAGAATTTTAAAATACTCCTTTCAAATGACCCCATTAAGTGCTTAGAAAGCGTGACCCTTCCCTGAAAGATGCATCATCAGCTTCCCTCTTCACATACACTGCATTCTGTACTAGCTAGTCACCCCACCTCCCCAAAAATTTAACTTTCAAAAATAATCTCTCATTCTGCTATTCCCTTAGGCTACCCTGTTTCAGGCAAGTTCCAAAAGCCAACATGAACTGAAATCCTGAATTCAACTAAAATAATTTTATGTTGCTCAAGGATATAATCAATTTCACATAACAGCATATGCTTTAAAAAAAAAAATCTCAGTTCTTCAGTTCTCTCTTTTTTCTAGGCAACAACATAGTTTTTCTTTGCCCTCGTGGAATAAGAAACTATAATTTTTGCCAAGTTCTGGAAGTATGTTTAAATAAGCTGTCATTAAATAGCACATTAGCAGCTCCACAAATATAGATACATCGGAACATGAGATACGTAGTATACCATAAACCTCAAGAGCACAGACTTTTAGCACAAATCTGGGACAAGAGTACACTCTAACAACAACCCTAAACACAGCCCAAATATCCCTTATATGCAGGACCACAGCTTTCTGCAAAACCTATGATGGAAAGGTCTAAATCCATATTCTCACACTAAATCCACAGTTTTATCTAAATGTGACAGGAAACCAATGCAAGAGTATTTTAAATAATCCTAAAAAGGGGACCTCTGACCTCTAGATCATTTAACAAGTACAGAATGCAATACATCCAAAAATGAACTTAAATGACAAGTCAGTAACAATTAACATTCAACTTAGTATTTGGCAAAATGACAATACAAACCTCAATTAAAAATTGGACCTACTCCCAAGTTACCTTTTGATTAAACATATATAGTGGTAGGCAGGTCATGTCAAAACGGGAAGGTTCATATATAACATATTAAACCACTTATCCAATTTAAAACAATGCACGCAGATACTACTGCTACTGGGTATCAGCAGCTCCCACCAGCCCCTTGTAAATGAAGGAATCAATACTACCAACCTGAACGCTGGTTACTGAGCAAGCTCATCTCAGGATTAAGAATAAATACTTTGTATAGTCAAACAAGCAAGAAAGAAATGTTAGCCAACTGTAACACTCAATCTCTCTATTAAGTATACAAGACTATGATAACCCGAGGCCTGAGCTAGCTAAAATACCCCTCATTCCAAAAGACATACACTGAACATACATGATGGTTTATGAATCAAGTCTTGTCCACTTTATCCAAAAAGATGAGCAAGTAAACACTTTCATCACTATTTTAACGTGAAAATACTCAAACTCTTAAGAAAGCTAACTACCAACAGCAAGGGAAGTTAAAAGTTTCCAATCAAGTCATCCAAATAAAAATCATATTCTCTCAATTCAAGGTTAATGAGACCGGGAGAGGGGGTATGGGAGGAGAAAAGGAGCTACCTCATCCTTGACTGAAGACAGGTTTTTGCCTATTTCCATTACATCTGACTGTTGTATCAGAAGTCTAAGATTTTAAGACCCTGGTATTTCAAGGTTTCTTATTTTAAGGATGAAGTGGAGAAGGGTGTAAAATAAAATCAATACTCACTGCTAACTTTCAGGCTGCCAAAAGCTGAAGGCTGCTGCACTGGCTTGCAGCTCTCCGCAAAGGAGGTGGTTCTGGGCCGCCCTGACATGATCACTCTCTTCCAGAATCACCTTCTTTTTTCTTCCTTTTGTTTTATGTTGGGGCGTTAGGTTAATGACAAATGCAGCATTAAGTTCTCCCACAAGAAAAAGAAAGGCTTCGCCCTCTTGGCTTTCTCACTCCTTTTGTATAGCTATTAAAAAAACGAGCGATGTATTTCTCCTTCAAGACAGCTCAGTATGGGTATTTAACATAGATGATTTGGAGACGGGGGGGAAAAAATACAATTCATTCCCCTCCCTTTCTTCGGAGGGGGGGAAAAGGGGAGAAATTCTAAAAAATATATATATATCACGCGAAACGGGGGCAAATACTTGATTGAAAATAAGTACTTTGAATATAATATTTTCCTCGGGGATTTTTTTTCCGAGTCAAAGAAGGGAAGCGGCGGAAGGATCACGAGTCTCACGCTTGAAAAGAAGGGGGATGGGGAGGAGGGAGGGAGGAGGGGGTGGCTCCGAGATGCGACGGGAAACGCAGCGGCTCCGACAGCGGCGGGATCCGGCGGGCTGACGGCAAGGGCCTGGCGAACTGGAGGGCGGCGGAGTCGCGAGTCAGTCAGAGGCGGGCGGTGTCGGCGGCTCCTCTCCTCATTGCGCCAGGAGCAGCTGCAGGCGGCGGCTGGATCCAGCGGCCATGGCGGCGGCGGTGGCGGAGGCAGCTCCCTTCAGACCCCAGGCAGCGGCTCCTCGACTGCTCCCCATACGCCGGGGACATGGGAACCCAGCAACCGCTTCCGTCCCTCGGGGCCCCCTCCCCCGTCCACGGCACCAGCGCGGCCGCCCTCCCGCCCCTCGTCTCTGCTCTGTGCCTGCTCAGGAAGTGTCCGCGCTTTGCCCCCAATCCGGAGCCCTGTCAGCGGCTGTGCGGCCGGCTCCTCCTTGCTTCCTTCCTTCCTTTGTCACTCGGCCCGGACGGCAGCGGCGGCGGCAGCACAAGCCCGCATTCGCCCGGGTCAGGAGCTGCTCTGTGTGAGGAGCGCCGTCTGCGCAGCCGCCTAGCTCTTCCCCACTACCCCTCCCCCCTCCTACTCGTTCTCCGCCTCCTTCCTCCCCCACCCAGTCTTACACCGCCCAGCGTCCCGCCGCCAGCGTAACTGGCGTCTGGGAATCGGCGGCCGAGCCCCGCGCCCGCCCGCGTCGGTTGGGGAGCCGAAGCCCCAGCAGAGCCAATCACGGACGTCGTTTGTTAGCTGCTTATCCGGAAAAAGCCGATCGACCTAAAAAGCCAATTAGAATGTGTCGCTGGAAATCCACGCCCAAAGAGCGAAAAGTACCGAAGATACCCGAACGGGAAGAAGGTGGGTTCGCCTTCTTCTGAGGAGAAATTGGAGAATGGCGACGGTGGCCAATCAGAGCCCGCTGGCCCTCAAGAAAAACGCTTGAAGAGTTACGGACGGCGAAACCCGGGGTCGCTGGTGAAACGGCACGGCTGGGCTCCGTGGCTGCTTTGTAATTGGCCGAAAACTCCGCTGGGAGTGTACCTCCCTCGGTGATTGGTGAACGGAAGGGGGCTTCCGAGGCGCGTCTGGCCAGTCAGAATGTCTCCTCCCTCGCCAGGGTGGGGAAAAGAAGAAAGCAGAGGGAGGGCGTCTATAAAGCGCCTTCTCATTGGCCTGAAGCTTTGGAGCTGGAGTTGGGGGCCAAAAGGAAAGGGAGGGAGGCCGACACCCCTGGCGGTAGCCAATTGGCACTCACTGCCATCCAATCGCAAGACCTAGCTGCAGTGTGATTGGCCTTCGGCCTCCGGCGGCGGTCCCAGGAGCCTGGAGAAGCTGACTGGGATCGCGACCGACAGTGTGACGGGCTCGCCTGCCGCTGCTCCCTGGCCACATGGAAACCACAACCAGGGAGCGCGAGCTGTCCACACAGTCGGTCCGAAACTGCTGCGGTCGGCGGGGCTGGGTCGGAGCGCTCAGGCGAGCAGAGGGTTGAGGGGCGCTCCGCACTCACTGGAGGCTCCCGGCGGGGCGCGGCTAATTCTGCGCGCCCAGGAGTCCCCTCCGCCCGGGATAACGCGTCCCGAGTGCCAGCGTCTACCCCTGAAAGGGCCCGATGAATGCGAGGCGCCTCCCAGGTCCGGAGCGAGTGAGTTCTCAGACTCTGAACTGGGAACAAAGCTTTCAGAGAGGCTGCAGCGCCCCTGGGCGGCCGGGCTCCGCCCAGCCGCGGGGGCCGTGGGTTTGCCTGAGGCCGACCGCGCCTGGCCCCCGCAGCGCGCCGGCCTTCTGGAAACGCCCCTGAGAAATGAGCTCTTGCTGGATGCGAGTGCTCCTTGGGCACCCCTGCCCGGCGCAAAAACGGTCCCCGAAACCAGGTGAGGGGAAATTCTAGCAGGCCGGATATCCTGAAGCCTCCGAGGAAACGGGGATTCAGGATATCCCTTGATAGGTGTTGATCCTTTGGAACTAGGGTGATCTATAAAAGTATTATTTCAGTAGGTTTCACACATAGGCCGGTGCTCATTGTTCTACGGAAAACCAACTCCTTTGGTTTCCCTGGGAACAGTGAGGTATGGTTACATCAGGGTAACATTTAAAGTAGAATGGACAGTTGCCATCCTGGTTGTAATCCCGTGGTGCCTGTAATTCCCATCTGCACAGTCATCTCTTTCTATTTAGGATACTATCTCCAGAAAGCACAAGTAAGAATACGTATAGCAGTTCAGATCACCTAGCTATTGGTTGGAAAATTTGATGAGGGACAGAGCAAAGGAAGCTTTGGTGGGAGGCAGGAAAGGTCTAGCTAGGGTTTGCAGACAAAGGTCTACAGGGGCGAGAGAGTACAACATGAGTGAAACTGGCCTGGTGGAAGACAATGGGGAATGATAAGGAATGTGGCAAATTGGAGTGTCCATGTTGTAACTGAAGGGAGCAGCTGTTCAGCTCTAGCAGGATGTTGCCCTCAGGAATGTGGGTCTAGTGTTCTGAGATATTGTATGTTTTTGTGTCTCCCAAGAAAAACCCTAAAGCTGGATTTTTGTGTGAAATCTCTCGATTTTTTTAAAGTTGGCAACCAGTGTTTGAAAACCCTGAAGGCCAAACTAAAAACATCCTGGGGGTAAAGGTGGCCAACGTGCAATCAATTTTAATCTCAAACCTGAACATGGGTTTTATAGCCCAAGAGCAGCAGAGGCTCTTGTTCTTTGCAATTAAGAGAGAACATGAGGTCTCTGGATGTCATGGAGGAGAGTAAAGAATGTTTAAAAGCAAACAGTGCATGGCAACTTTTATCAGATGAATGTTGCCTCTCCATGCAAACTATTATTATGAAGGACCTTTGTCACTAGTCTTTAAAATGCTTGTGAGGCAAAGCTTTAAATCCTGCCTTCCTCTTTACTCCCCATCCTTACTCCCAGTTATACCTGCAGGAAACAATAACAAATGTTTAGGTTATACAAATTGGAAGCATGGGTATTTTGTATATAATAAAGTACAAAAATAGTGTACCTTAAGGCTATGATTAGTAGCTTTACTGTTGCTGCCTTCAAATATTTTGAATTGCCGCTGCTTTAAAAAAAAAAATCTTCCCAAGATAGAAAAATTTTATAGGAAGAAAAAAGTATTTCAGTCTAGAATTAGGACTTAAGGAGGGAGACGTTTATGAGAAAATACAGAAGTAATGAAATTAACATTCAATGATTGTTTCTCTGATCTTCCAAATTCTTACTCTCTTCCCACCTGCTGTCAACCACTTATCCGTTTATAATAATTTCAATAGTCAATATTTACTGAGTGTTTACAAATGTGCTAGACACTGTTCTTAAGTGCTTCACACATGCTCTCTCAAATTGATAATAATCTTATGACGCAAATACTGTTATCACCTCTGCTTTTCGGATGAAACTGAGGGCCAGGAAGCTTTGCTTACAAACTTAACTTAGGTCCACAGAGCTAAAGGAGCAGAAAGAACCATGATTCAAATAGTCTGGTCTTAGCCTCTACTCCATAATTCTCTCACAAACACAGTCCCCACCTCGTCTGGTATACCTTAGTTTATCTTAAAGTCTAAGCCTTATGTCTTGAACTGTGTGCCTGGTTTTAAACATATCCCCTAGTTTGGTTTCCCTCAGGGCTTATCAGATGATCTCTAGCGGAGATCAGTGATTCTGAGCCACAGTAACAATAAACCAAAGGATCAGGAAAAGATAAATGTAGGAAAGCTGGGTGGTGCAGAACAGGTAAGTAGTGTAGTAGGGAAAAATAAGAGGTTTATGAGCCTGTCCACANGCCGGCCTTCTGGAAACGCCCCTGAGAAATGAGCTCTTGCTGGATGCGAGTGCTCCTTGGGCACCCCTGCCCGGCGCAAAAACGGTCCCCGAAACCAGGTGAGGGGAAATTCTAGCAGGCCGGATATCCTGAAGCCTCCGAGGAAACGGGGATTCAGGATATCCCTTGATAGGTGTTGATCCTTTGGAACTAGGGTGATCTATAAAAGTATTATTTCAGTAGGTTTCACACATAGGCCGGTGCTCATTGTTCTACGGAAAACCAACTCCTTTGGTTTCCCTGGGAACAGTGAGGTATGGTTACATCAGGGTAACATTTAAAGTAGAATGGACAGTTGCCATCCTGGTTGTAATCCCGTGGTGCCTGTAATTCCCATCTGCACAGTCATCTCTTTCTATTTAGGATACTATCTCCAGAAAGCACAAGTAAGAATACGTATAGCAGTTCAGATCACCTAGCTATTGGTTGGAAAATTTGATGAGGGACAGAGCAAAGGAAGCTTTGGTGGGAGGCAGGAAAGGTCTAGCTAGGGTTTGCAGACAAAGGTCTACAGGGGCGAGAGAGTACAACATGAGTGAAACTGGCCTGGTGGAAGACAATGGGGAATGATAAGGAATGTGGCAAATTGGAGTGTCCATGTTGTAACTGAAGGGAGCAGCTGTTCAGCTCTAGCAGGATGTTGCCCTCAGGAATGTGGGTCTAGTGTTCTGAGATATTGTATGTTTTTGTGTCTCCCAAGAAAAACCCTAAAGCTGGATTTTTGTGTGAAATCTCTCGATTTTTTTAAAGTTGGCAACCAGTGTTTGAAAACCCTGAAGGCCAAACTAAAAACATCCTGGGGGTAAAGGTGGCCAACGTGCAATCAATTTTAATCTCAAACCTGAACATGGGTTTTATAGCCCAAGAGCAGCAGAGGCTCTTGTTCTTTGCAATTAAGAGAGAACATGAGGTCTCTGGATGTCATGGAGGAGAGTAAAGAATGTTTAAAAGCAAACAGTGCATGGCAACTTTTATCAGATGAATGTTGCCTCTCCATGCAAACTATTATTATGAAGGACCTTTGTCACTAGTCTTTAAAATGCTTGTGAGGCAAAGCTTTAAATCCTGCCTTCCTCTTTACTCCCCATCCTTACTCCCAGTTATACCTGCAGGAAACAATAACAAATGTTTAGGTTATACAAATTGGAAGCATGGGTATTTTGTATATAATAAAGTACAAAAATAGTGTACCTTAAGGCTATGATTAGTAGCTTTACTGTTGCTGCCTTCAAATATTTTGAATTGCCGCTGCTTTAAAAAAAAAAATCTTCCCAAGATAGAAAAATTTTATAGGAAGAAAAAAGTATTTCAGTCTAGAATTAGGACTTAAGGAGGGAGACGTTTATGAGAAAATACAGAAGTAATGAAATTAACATTCAATGATTGTTTCTCTGATCTTCCAAATTCTTACTCTCTTCCCACCTGCTGTCAACCACTTATCCGTTTATAATAATTTCAATAGTCAATATTTACTGAGTGTTTACAAATGTGCTAGACACTGTTCTTAAGTGCTTCACACATGCTCTCTCAAATTGATAATAATCTTATGACGCAAATACTGTTATCACCTCTGCTTTTCGGATGAAACTGAGGGCCAGGAAGCTTTGCTTACAAACTTAACTTAGGTCCACAGAGCTAAAGGAGCAGAAAGAACCATGATTCAAATAGTCT